CTCTCTCTCTCTCTCTCTCTCTCTCTCTCTCTCTCTCTCTCTCTCTCTCTCTCTCTCTCCTTCTTTCTGTAAAATGTCAGTCATTCCCTAATGAGTACGGTGTACTGGTGGTGAATTTCACATGTTTCTCATTTCTGCGTAGAAGCCTGGATGTTAATGGTGTGGGCTTTGGGAGTGCTCTGTATTATGAAGTATTATGCTTCCTGTCTGGAACAGGCAAAAACAAGATTGGAATATTAAGAGCAAGTGAAAAAGGCACCATGAAACCAGCTGCTTTCAATAGGCATGATTGTACCATATAAAAATGAATGGCATGAATTATGTTAATGTTGTAGGATAGAAGCTTTGATTAGCCTTGCAAAAAAAAAAAAAGAATTCTTATGCAGATCCCCTGGAGAAAGGGAGAACTGAGATACTCAGAATAATATATATTATTCTTCAAGCTACCGCGAAACTATCTGAAGATGAAAGTTGATCACAGTTGCCAAGTCTGCAATGAGATGAATTTGGGAGACCTGGTTCCTAAATTTAACAGTAGATTGGTATATCCCAGTGATGGCGAACCTTTTAGAGACTGAGTGCCCAAACTGCAACCCAAAACCCACTTATGCATCGGCGAGTGCCGGGTGGGTGTGGCCCATTGGCTGGGCGTGGCCCATTGGGTGGGTGTGGCTGAGGTGGTAACGGCAGACTGGGTGGGACTAAAATGTTCAATCAATTTCAACTTTGCAAGATCTTTTTTTTTCCCACGAGAAATTGAAATTGACTGATTGAACCTTTTTTTTTTTGCACACGGCGGCGGAGGCCTAAAGCGAAAAGGTTTTATAAAACCCAGCTGAAGGCCTAGGACTGGGGCGATGGCGCACGTGCCCATAGAGAGGGCTCTGAGTGCCGCCTCTGGCACCCGTGCCATAGTTTTGCCACCAATGGTATATCCTATTTGTTTCTCTTTGTAAGCTTGTATTTATTCAGGAATAGGTAAAGAGTATATATGTATGCATCCATAAATCAAGGCGTTCAATAAAATAAGATTATTATATATATTTAATGATTCATTGTATATAACCCTGTTTGAAATTACTCATTTGGAAAGTAAGTATTTGCCTCCTAGCTCTCCTGCTGAGAGAATTGGTTTCTGAGTGTAGGAAAGACATTTGTGCTTCCAAACCTGAATGGCGAATTAAGCGGAGAAATTATCCCAAAGCCTTATTTTCTTTGCCAAGACGCAGCCATAAGGTATTAGAAGCTAGTATAAACATGGTATTCACCTTTATATACTTTCATTTTCTTTAGACAAGTGGAGTCTAGTGGTTATGGTTTGGAGGAAAGAGTTCTGCAAATACAAAACAGGACCTTTGCCAGATTCCTGCCTCCTGACTCAAATTGGCAATTACGCTCATAAGTCTAAAAACTAATAAGTTTAAGAACATCGATCAATCCTCTGATGTAATGAATGGAAGCAGTATGTGGTCCAAACCAATAGCTTATTGCAAAGTTTACAGAGCACTGTGTCTGAATGGCTACAAAACGATTCTTAATGCCTTTTGGTCTGAAACATCTGCCTTGTTGTTGTTGTTAGTTGCAAAGTCATGTCTGACCCATTGCGACCCCAAGGACAACGTTCCTCCAGTCCTTCCTGTCCTCTACCATCTTCTGGAGTCCATTTAAGCTCACACCTATTGCTTCATTGACTACATCCAGCCACCTCATTCTCTGTCGTCCCCTTTTTATATTGCCTTCAATCTTTCCCAGCATTAGGCTCTTCTCCAGTGAGTCCTTCCTTCTCATTAGGTGGCCAAAGTACTTGAGTTTCAAATTCAGGATCTGGCCTCCTAAAGAGCAGTCAGGGTTGATCTCCTCTAGGACTGACCAGTTTGATCGCCTTGCAGTCCAGGGGACTCGCAGGAGTCTTCTCCAGCACCATAGTTCAAAGGCCTACTAGAAGCAAAAGAGAATAGAAGAGTAATTATTACTTGATTCTTTCCTCAAGGGAAGAGAGAAGCAGAGGTCTTCTCTTGGCATTCAGTGATAGGGTGGTCCAACAGCTGGCCAAGGAAGTTGGACATCAGGCAGTGCCAATGGGTAGGATTAAAACAACATGCAAAGAACAGATGAAGAGAGGCTGTTGGCTCCGAACAGCTTTCTCCTGAGTCACCAGGAGCAACTAGTGGGGAAGTTTCTTATGAACAGTAGCTGAAATAATGGCACTGCAGGCAAATCACTTCTGGATTGTAATGCTTATTCATTTGCACTCACAGAATCCTCCCAAAGCCACATGTTTGAAAGCTTAGTGAAACATGTAATGAATATTCTTTGCTTGATGTACTTGAACACAGAAAAAAAAGTCTTAAAAAGCTCCTTTGATTTATAAGGTATTTTAGTAATGCTTTGTCACTGTTGTGGGAAAATTACTATAGATCAGACATGTCAAACTCGCGACGTCACGTGACTCGGGCAACGTATCGGGACATTTTGCCATTGCCGGCAATGGGATGGGCGTAGCTTCCGCATGATGCGTCCNTGTACTTGAACACAGAAAAAAAAGTCTTAAAAAGCTCCTTTGATTTATAAGGTATTTTAGTAATGCTTTGTCACTGTTGTGGGAAAATTACTATAGATCAGACATGTCAAACTCGCGACGTCACGTGACTCGGGCAACGTATCGGGACATTTTGCCATTGCCGGCAATGGGATGGGCGTAGCTTCCGCATGATGCGTCCGGCCCGCGGGCCGGCAGTTTGACACCCCTGCTGTAGATGAACTCCAGTTTAATTGACACCCAGCATATTCCTGACCAATTCCTGTATCTCAGGCATGTCAAACTGCTGGCCTGCGGGCCAGATGCGTCACACCGAAACCGCACCCACCCCATTGCCGGCAATGGGGGAAAAGTCATAATATGTCAGGTGACATCACGTGACGTCGTGAGTTTGACATGCCTGCTGTATCTAAATCAGAGCAAGCACATATGCCACTCAATAAAGCTAACAATCATCTATATATCTATACCTACATCTACTTTATGCTTATTTATTAAATGACAGCAAAATTAAATGTTTCTCCTTCTCTGTTGGAGGAGTCCTAGCATTGTAAAGTCTACATACCTTTATAATATGCCCTTTCCTGTTGCAGTTCTCTTCATTTGCATCATTCAAAACATGTTGATAGGCCTCCGGCTTGGCAATTATATTCTTAAGAGAAATTTTATGATAAAATTTGATTAACTTTAAAGTACATTGGTAGTTTTCTGATAAAGAATTTAATAACAGTTCCTTGATAAAATTACCAGAAAGGCTCACACTTTGCTTACTATCGTTCAAATAGAAAAATACTCTGACATATAACAGAATAATAGAATAATGGAATGGTGTTAAATTAAGCTTCCAGTTGCTGATAATTTCAGATTCATAAGTTTTCTGAACTTTGAAAGTTTTATCTACAAGGAATATAAAATTGGTTTATTTAATCAAGATTAGAATAGATATGTTGTTCTCTCTGGTAATATGTAATGGAACTTTTGTTGATATCAATACAGAAATAACCAGGTTTTATGCATTTGTTTATTGATAAAAGATAGGATATGGGAAGAAGAGATTATTTGTTGCACTTTAAGAGAAGATAAGTTACTAAAATTGTTTGTACTTGTGATGAAATTACTATATAAAAAAGGTATATGGACATCACCATAAAAAAAAATATAATTACATCCCTATGCTTAACTAAAAGTTATAAACAATCAGTATTTGATTTTCTTATAGGACCCTTGGCATTCAGCCAGCTGTATAGCAAATAAACACATCCCTTATTAATGAAAACCACAAAACACCCAAAAAAATCTTAAACAAAAATGAATTAATGAGAAAGGTCTGCTGATTCTGCATATGTTAGATAAAAGTATCTGAATATTTGTACTATTGTCAAGAGAATTAACTTATAAGACCTTACGTTTAAACTATTTTAAACTTTAAATATCTTATGTTGCTGCTGATCATTGAATAGTGACTTTTGACTTTAAGACAGACATGTCAAACTCGCGACATCACATAACGCTGCTCAATGTATCGGACTGTTTTGCCATTGCCAGCAATAGGGTGGGTGGGGCTTCTGCATGATGCGTCCGGCCCGCAGGCCAGCAGTTTGACACCCCTGCTCTAAGACATCTTACCCTAAGACGGTATGTTTCTAGCAGAATGAAATATTTATATGCATATACAGTACTTTGGGAGATAAGAAAGGTGGAAAAAAGACTCATTATAGCATTGTGCCTTGAATCAAGAGATATAGAGTTTGGAAGGAACAGGCCTGAAAGAGCATTCATTTAAAATAGTACAAATGTTCGAAATTAAGGCCATCTGTACACCTGACTTTAAATCTGGATTAATGGCTTTATTGGATTAGATTATATTTTGACCTTTGTATGGTTCTTGTGCTGAATACCATGCAGAATCCATAATATGAACACCACAGTGCTTAAATAACTTCATGTCCAAACTCTGCATGACAGGAAAGCATGACTTCTTATGAAGAACATTAAATTGAAAAAGAAATCCATTGCGTATTCAGATGACTGGGTAGAATCTGTGGAATAACATTAGATGCAGCTTACCTTTTTGCAGAACAAATTATGGTAACATAAAGACCTGGTTTTATAATCAAGGTTGGTTTGTCCTTGATTATAAAGAAGCAATTGACAGGACTAGTTTTTAAAAATCCCCAAGGTGTTAACATTGAAAGAGCTATTAAGAGTTGTGTCCTCTTCCCTTAATAGAAAAAAATAATAATGAAACGTGTTTTAGCAAGATAGCAAATATTACGCTGAACCCATTCACATATTCTGCCCATGTTTCCTTATAATGTCAAATGTATTAGCAGAGGGGAACTACCCTGACCATAATATGGGAATTTGGATAATTGAATTCTTGTGGACTGACATGATGAAGTACTGTGATGGATCACTGTAAGTATGGCTGTTTTTAACATTCTGCCTTGTGGGAGAAATCCGGTGTGAGGTGAATTTCTATAAGGATGATAATAAATTGACCTCTGCCGGCTGTGAACTTTGTCTTGAAAGATGCTTGGAGGTAAGATGTAATTAATGCATTAGGAGCTGCCAAGAAATGAATCAAATGGGGAAGCCTGGAGGAAAGCCAGGGTCTATTCTGTTTGTTATTCTGTTCTTTTGCAAAGCCACTTGGTAAATTCTGGGAGTGACGGCCTACAAATTTTGGCTTACCTTCCTAGTCATCAATGTATGTTGGGGAGGAGAAACAGGATTATACATCCCGGGCAGAAAGAAGGTAAGAAGAAAATGTTTTTCTTTACCTGTAAAGTGGAATTCTAGATAAGATATAGGTGCTATTCATAGGAAGGTTGAAGGCTTTTTGCCCCTAACAATGTGGTGAATACATTTGGTTTGTCTGTGGCACAGATCAGCAAGATGGAATAAATGGAGAAAGGTTAAGCTGAGAGATCTCGATCAATTTAGTCAGCTTAATTCTAGCAGGTAGAATATATTCTCTTTCTTTGGAAATGGGAAAAGAGAAGATTAATGACTGAATCTTATTCACCATTGTATTATCATACTGTATGCAGTAATGCTTTGTTGAAACTAAATTTTATTTTATTTCCTGTTTGTAAGTATGATGTGATTTCTGCAGCCATGGTAGAGCAAGCATTTATAACCTTATCGCCAATTTTTACAGCAGTATGGTTGGAGAGGGGCATGATCCAAGGATGTGAAGAAAGTTCTCAACCGCTTTGCAGGATGAGCAAACAGCAGTGATTCTTTTTTGGAAGTGCTGAGCCTTGAAACACATGGTTTTGTTTGTACCCCAGAATAGGGACTTGGCTGCTAACTCCCCAGTAACTACTACATGAGATGACTGTGTTTAGATTTTGTTTCATTTGTTCATTTATGCTATATGCTTTGAATAATATAGCATACAAGGATAATATAGGAACATAAGCTTACCAGTTCTAAATATGTACTGTAAACTCAAATTCTAACCAGGATCCTTCCTTTAGAGTAAAGATATCAAGCTGACAGCCAGGAAGAATGGAAGAATGACCTAACTATTATCTATCACAGATGTTGAGATAATTGGCATCCTGCATACATTCTCTAAATGTTCCAATTTGACATATTAAAATTTTAAATTAACTTTAGTAATAAGGCTTGAAGAAGAAAGCTGAAGGGTAGTATCTAAAATATTTCTGAAGTAACATCCGGCAAATGTATAAATAATGATTCCAGAAATCAGTGAAAGATATATAGCCTGATAGGCAATATCAGACAGTAAGTTCAGTGGAAACAAATTTTATTCACAAGTGTTTCAGTTGATACCAAGTGAACCATAGGTAGTAGGCCCTTAGCCCAATGTTTCTCAGCTACTTTTAATATATGTGGACTTCAACTCCCAGAATTCCCCAGCAAATATTTTAAATCAGTGCTCCAAATTTCATTTTGTAGTAGCAATACAGGAGAAGGGGGAAGGCCTCAAAGAGAAGAGGGCATTCTGCCCCATAAACTTGACTTGTAACATTTTCAACATTCTTTATTAACTCTGCATGGACAGTAATTGAAGATATGTCTATCTCAGTTGTTCTGAAGAGTTAAATTTGTCTCTGGTGAATACTCTTATTGGACACAACCATGCAGTTTCCTTGGTCACAGTGATTTGCCATTCATCTTTTCTAGCATGTTTTTCAACTTCCCAGTATATCCTATATTCTGGCATTTTCTGGAGGATTCCCACTCAGACACCAACAAAATCAGACTCTGCTTAGTTTCAAGCTCAGATAAGATCTAGCAGGTGTTGCCACATTCTGTGACTCTTAAATGTTTCCTAGTAGATAGTCATTTATTTATCAATGGCCTGCCTGTGACCTCATTTTATTTATAAAGGTGCAAATAAGTGAAGTGTCTGATGAATACATTAGCTCTAAGCTGAAGGATGGGGTTTTGAATGAAATGTTGCTTTTAATACATTTGATCGGTTGCAGTGTAGTCTAAGAATCTATCTAAAGTCTTAGGTTATCTTTTTTTTTAAAAAAAAATACAGTTTCCTCTAGTTTGAAGGAACTTAATCCTGTGTTTTTCATGTATGCTAATTCACTTTTAAAGCTACTGTTGATAATTATTAGTTGCATTATTCTGTAGTTACTGGTGAGATTAGATTTAGTTAGTAACACTATAATAATCTTTTTAGTAGATTTATCAACTGCTCAAACCAATGTTTAAATTACTTAATTGTGATGATTATAAGGAGGGATTCTTTCTCCAGATAATTAAATACATAATTAAATAGGCACTAAATTGGCATCAAATAAGGCATTTTTGGTCCAGGAGATAATGACAAATACGTAGAGTTTTTAGTTCTCTAGAATGTATTAAGGGCTCCAGTTTTCCAGTGATACTAGGGATAGAAAAATGCTTACAAAGGGATGCCTTTGTCTGCTAAGGAACTACATTTGGCAGGACCCAAGAGATGGGCCTTTTCTGCTGTGGTGATGGTGCCAGCCGTTTGGAACATCACACTGCCTCCCTGGTGAGACTGGCACCCTCCTTGATGTCAACAGATTTGGAAGTTTCACTAAAATGGGGATTTAATGAGGTGGCCACATTGAGCATACTGATTTCCATCAGTACGCTGATGATACTCAGCTGTACATCTCCACCCCAGGCCACCCCAACGATGCCCTTGACGTGATGGCCCGTTGCCTGGAGGCCGTAAGGGTCTGGATGGGGAGGAACAGACTCAGGCTCAACCCTTCCAAGACCGAGTGGCTGTGGCTGCCGGCGCCTCGGCATAGTCAGCTGACCCCATCGCTGANTCTTTTCCGGCGCTTCATCTCTCTTAGCTCCCCGGTAAACCAGGGAGCCAATTGAGACCTGCGCCGGGTCAGAGGCCGCAAAGGCACGACTCGGTCCAATGCTGCGGCAGCGGCCGTCTCCCAGGCCGCCGCCAGATTGTCAGCCGAATCGTGAACTAGGTCCTCAGGATATGGCCCAAGCTCCGTCAGGAACCTCTCCAGGTCCATCAGGCGCCTGGGGCGGAACCATCTAGGCGGTTCCTCCTCCCTGCGGCGGGGGGGAGCGGTCCGGAAGTCCATCCTGAGGAGTGAATGATCTGACCATGACAGGGGTTCAACAACTACCTCCCCCATTTCCAGATAAAGATATCAAGCTGACAGCCAGGAAGAATGGAAGAATGACCTAACTATTATCTATCACAGATGTTGAGATAATTGGCATCCTGCATACATTCTCTAAATGTTCCAATTTGACATATTAAATTTTTAAATTAACTTTAGTAATAAGGCTTGAAGAAGAAAGCTGAAGGGTAGTATCTAAAATATTTCTGAAGTAACATCCGGCAAATGTATAAATAATGATTCCAGAAATCAGTGAAAGATATATAGCCTGATAGGCAATATCAGACAGTAAGTTCAGTGAAAACAAATTTTATTCACAAGTGTTTCAGTTGATACCAAGTGAACCATAGGTAGTAGGCCCTTAGCCCAATGTTTCTCAGCTACTTTTAATATATGTGGACTTCAACTCCCAGAATTCCCCAGCCAATATTTTAAATCAGTGCTCCAAATTTCATTTTGTAGTAGCAGTGCAGGAGAAGGGGGAAGGCCTCAAAGAGAAGAGGGCATTCTGCCCCATAAACTTGACTTGTAACATTTTCAACATTCTTTATTAACTCTGCATGGACAGTAACTGAAGATATGTCTATCTCAGTTGTTCTGAAGAGTTAAATTTGTCTCTGGTGAATACTCTTATTGGACACAACCATGCAGTTTCCTTGGTCACAGTGATTTGCCATTCATCTTTTCTAGCATGTTTTTCAACTTCCCAGTATATCCTATATTCTGGCATTTTCTGGAGGATTCCCACTCAGACACCAACAAAGTCAGACTCTGCTTAGTTTCAAGCTCAGATAAGATCTAGCAAGTGTTGCCACATTCTGTGACTCTTAAATGTTTCCTAGTAGATAGTCATTTATTTATCAATGGCCTGCCTGTGACCTCATTTTATTTATAAAGGTGCAAATAAGTGAAGTGTCTGATGAATACATTAGCTCTAAGCTGAAGGATGGGGTTTTGAATGAAATGTTGCTTTTAATACATTTGATCGGTTGCAGTGTAGTCTAAGAATCTATCTAAAGTCTTAGTTTATCTTTTTTAAAAAAAAATACAGTTTCCTCTAGTTTGAAGGAACTTAATCCTGTGTTTTTCATGTATGCTAATTCACTTTTAAAGCTACTGTTGATAATTATTAGTTGTATTATTCTGTAGTTACTGGTGAGATTAGATTTAGTTAGTAACACTATAATAATCTTTTTAGTAGATTTATCAACTGCTCAAACCAATGTTTAAATTACTTAATTGTGATGATTATAAGGAGGGATTCTTTCTCCAGATAATTAAATACATAATTAAATAGGCACTAAATTGGCATCAAATAAGGCATTTTTGGTCCAGGAGATAATGACAAATACGTAGAGTTTTTAGTTCTCTAGAATGTATTAAGGGCTCCAGTTTTCCAGTGATACTAGGGATAAAAAAATGCTTACAAAGGGATTGCCTTTGTCTGCTAAGGAACTACATTTGGCAGGACCCAAGAGATGGGCCTTTTCTGCTGTGGTGATGGTGCCAGCCGTTTGGAACATCACACTGCCTCCCTGGTGAGACTGGCACCCTCCTTGATGTCAACAGATTTGGAGGTTTCACCAAAATGGGGATTTAATGAGGTGGCCACATTGAGCGTAACACCTATGCTATCCCTACCTTTTAGGGTTTTTTTTAATTACAATGTTTGTGTTCAATGTTTTATTGTACATTGTACAATATTGTACATTGCTCAGAGTCATGTTTCTGTGAGATGGTCAATGTGTAAATATGATAAATACATAAATAGTGGATTAGAAGGGTATTTGGCAGGAGCATGATCCCACTTTTAGCACCTGTCTCTCTCCATTGCTTAGAGCAGCTGTAACACTTCATTTCATTTCATAGTCAATCTGCCGTTGATTTAGGGTTACATTGCTATTTTCTCACTTGTGTCCACTTTCAAAAAATGCACTTTGGTAAAATTAAGTAATGCACAGCCCAGTAAATTAACCCAGTGAAGAAGCACTGGAATGTTCCCAGTGAAGAAGCACTGGAATAAATGAAGCCTTGGGATGAAATCCATGGGATGAAAGAGAGAAGTACCGAAGTGGGTAATAGAATGGCCAAAACTAGGAATAAAATAATACATCCTCAGACTATTCCAAATCTGCATGGCCCCCTTCTTAATTAATACTGTACATTGTCCATACTTCAGCATGTTTATAAAAAAGCAGCATTTGTACCTATTAGAATAATGTAGACTCCAACTGGGATTTTCCTAGCAGAAAACTCACATTTGTTGCCCTGGCATTTTACCATAGGCAACATAAATGGTTTGGGTCAGTGACCATTGCTTTGCACTTCCCATTGATTAATGTCATGCAAAAATAACTACACAGATAACACAATTAACAATGAACTGGGTAAAGAATGTTCAAATTGATGTTGTTGTATAAAAAACAAGTCTGATATAATACATTTGGAAATGGTATCAGCAGTTCGGAAGTTAAAACTTTAAATGAACTCATTATTTTAGAAAATCTAAAATTAACTTTATCTCCAAAAGGCTATTGAGAAATAGCTTTTCATCCCAGATTCATTGTATTGGCTTCTAAGTAGAATCTAAACCAATGTTTTTCAAACTTGGTAACTTTGAAGATGTGTGGACTTAAAACTCTCAGAATGCTGGCTATGGCATTCTGGGAGCGGAGAGCCACACATCTTAAAAGTTGCCAAATCTGAAAAACCTTGATTCTCTAGAATTTTGAAAATAAGTTTAAATTTTTCATTCTAAAGATATGTCATGTTAACAATGTATGGAAACAAACTCCCATCTTTTCATTATATCAAGCACTAAGGAGAAATTCCAAATTTATCCTGCTTTGGTCACACTCTTGAAAACTTTTGACTACTGGTATAATCCTGGAATAATCTCTTCCCTTCCTCCTGCAAAAATCGTTGCCAGGCATGTGGATGACAGGCATGCCTTCACTTCTGTCTAATGTATTGGAGAAGATTTGCTTTTGATAGGTGGTAATAATAATGAGGTGTATAAATAGCTGATTACCTGGTGGATAGCCTAGAGCAGGGGTAGGCAACCTTGGCTCTTTTATGACTTGTGGACTTCAACTCCCAGAATTCCTGAGCCAGCCAGTCCACGAGTCATAAAAGAGCCAAGGTTGCCTACCCCTGGCCTAGAGTAGCGGTCCCCAACTGGTCCCCTGGCATCAGGGACCAGTTTTGTGGAAGACAATTTTTCCAGACTAGGGAGGGGGGAGGAGCTTGCAACCTAGATCTCTTGCATGTTTGTGTAGTTTACAGTAGGGTTTGCACTCCTATGAGAATCTAACGCCTGATGATCTGAGATGGAGCTGAGGCAGTAATGCTAGCACTGTGGAGCAGCTGCAAATTCCGATGAAGCTTTGCTCACCTCCAGTTGTGTGGCTCGGTTCTGGTCCATGGACTGGGGGGTTGGAGACCTTTGGCCTAGAGAACAATACACTATTTTTTTCCCTTAGATAACATCTTTGGGGAAAGATGTTGGTCATTAAATCACTGCAAACATAGAGATTTTTTTCCTCATATGCTCTTTGACAATTACCTTTCTGAAATTCTAAGCAGTACGGTAATTAATTGCTTAGTATTAAAAGTACAAGGGCCAGCAATTCAGTCTCCTGTTTGGAAATGATCTTATTATTTAGCCTGCTTTTTCAATTTGAGTTCTTGAGCTGTCATTCATGGGTTAAATGATAAGCACCAAGGAAAGGGCTGCTTTTTCTGACATTAAAAACTGCTTTTGCTTCTGACATTTCAGAACATAATTGTTCTCTCAGGAATAGCAATAGTTCGTTAAATACAAAGCACCAAATACAGTGCATTCGGAAAGCATTCAGACCCCCTTCACTTTTGTCAACTTTGTTATGCTGCAGCCTGATTCTACAGTTGTTGAAATTCATTTTTTTTATCATTAATCTATTTTTTTCCCTCATTCTTCTAACAGTGCTTAAGGCACAATGCTAGAAATTGGGAGATTGTGAGTTCTAGTCCTGCTTTAGGCACACAGGCAGCTGGGTGATCTTGGGCCAGTCACTCTCTCTCAAGCCTAGGCAAGGAGAAACCACACTTGAGAAACCTCACCAAGAAAACTGCAAGGGCCATCACTGACTCAAAAGCACACACACCCCAAAAAGAAAGGTTGTAAAGTCACTTTAGTGTAGTAAATAGCACCAGGCTAGAAACTGGGTGAGTATGAGTTCTGGTCCTGCCTTAAGCATGGGGCATTCTCTTAGCCCTAAGAAGGCGGCAAAGACAAATGCTTTCTCAAAATGTTGCCATGAAAAATGCAGGTGGTTGACAGGAGTTAAAAATGACTTGAAGGCATGCATACAATCGATAAATGAGTTAGGGGACAAAGGTTGGATCCTGAATCGGCTGCCTATTTTTGGAGGCTGAAAATTGGCAAAATGGCAGAAATAGCTATCTTCATGCTATTCCCCTTGCCCTGAATTGTCTCAGGCCAGGAGTTTTCCAGACAGCAGGGCAGGAGAAAACTGTGACCAATTCACCTATCTTTGCAGGCAGACTCACGAAGTAAACAACATGGGCTAAAGGAGGGGTAGGCAAATATTTTTCTAAGTTTTGAGACGTTGATGATGTTCATAATTTTTCATTTTTCATCTACGCCAGTGTTTCTCAACCTTGACAATTTTTTCATCTACGCCAGTGTTTCTCAACCTTGACAATTTTAAGGCATGTGGACTTCAACTCCCAGAATTCCACAGCCAGCATTGCTGGCTGTGGAATTCTGGGAGTTGAAGTCCACATGCCTTAAAATTGTCAAGGTTCAGAAACACTGATCTACGCAAGTCATGCCAGAATTTGTGTAAGCAGATGTTTACGGATACTTTTCTAAACCAGGTGAAAGTGTGAAAACTCCGTGCTAGAAATAAAACGCCCATTTAATATAAATGCATGTAGTTCTTTGGAAGAAGGCAGAAGCTCAGCCACAGCTCTTGCTGGTCTTCTTGCTTCCAATTGGTCTTTGGGATTCTATTTCCCCCAAAACTGTGCAACACACTTAAATGTTATGGCCCCTTTCATCTTTGAAGGAGATTGTTCACCACAACCTTCAGTGAAAACTAAGACAAGTGGAAAAAATATGACTGTACTAATATTGATACAAACCAACTGCATGAAAAATGAGTCATACAAAAATCTTCCACATTTTGGCAGTTATGAAGCATAACAATTTTAAATGCAATTTTAAGTGTAAAAAGTCCAAACAAAATATAAAAGATGCAACATTTATAAAAAAGACTGAACAGAACAATGCAATATAACCCTTGGTGATCTTGTTTCACATTCTTTTCTATTGCACATGTTAAAGCCAAGTGACCTAACTTTTACAAATTCCTTTTAAATTGGATAGAACTGTTTTAACTTTTCCCTTACTGCTATTTTTAGATTATTGAGTTAATATTTCTGTTCAACTAATTTAATTCCTTATAAAAAGGTGTTTTTTTTACACTGCAGGATTTTTATTCTGCATATGCACATTTAATTGGTATCTATTTTAACAGAATGAACTAAAGTAATATAATGCAACATGAAATATAATTACATTAACTTTTTGTAGTTCTTATTAATAACTTCATACCAAATATGCTACTGGAAGTATTTCTTTTTCTTTTAACCATGCAAAAATAATTTTAAAAAAACCAGCACTGATCTTCAGCAATGTTTTCTTAGAATAAACCAACCAGGGTCAATAGCAGTTTTCAATGTAGGGCAAAATTAAAGAGTTAACCATTTCCATTAACTAATTGCATCCAAACTATTTTTTAAGTTGTGAAAAATTTCTTATGAAAATGGTCAAATAGGACAAAGAGATTAATTAAGCCCATTGGGTAAATTCACGAAGTATATATTTTGTGACTCTTTAAAAAAAGGCTAATATAACCATGATTCCAATATGTTCTCTTAGTTATTTGTTCCCCAATTAAATTAAGGTGGCTAATTGTAGGAAAATTAAAACCACCAGGTTGGCAAACTTTATGTTCCTGCTCTACTAAATTTTTTATCTTGCTAAAAATCTTAAGCACTTCTCAGAAGTGTCCAGTTGCCCTAATTTTTGGAAAGTATCTCTATTTCATGCACTTAAACTTTTTTTTCCTTTGAAATGTTCATCCTAGGTTCTCTTTCTGTATTCTTTGTGCTTTGGGTAAAAACATTGGCTGCAGTGCAGAGGTTGTCCTGGAGACCTTTTATCAGAGTTCATTATGAGAGTTTTTATCAGCAGCTTTGAACATCAGGATGGAATTGAAGATTTTTAGAGCTGGTCCCAGTTTAATACTCATTATTTTGACAATGTCTGCTTGGGTCATTAGAAGAAAAGCTTCCCCATCGATTTGCTGAAAGGAAAAAAAAAATCTACATGTTAATGACTTCACCCAGTTATGAATGTACTTTCAACTTTATAACAATAATTTAAAATGGGACCAAACTATTCACTTCAGATATATCGAAATGGAATTTGTTAATCTTAAAAGTGAATTGAATTCTCCTTTGAGAAATATTCCTCAGTGATGCTTATCAACTCCCCCCCCCCCAAGACTGCCATCTCTTCGGTCTCTCTAGTTTGCATAAGTTATTCAGCTATAAGAACAGAGATCAGGATGGCTTTTGTTAAAAAAAAAAAAAACCTATCCAGAATTGTTTGAGCACCTATTCAGCTCATGCCAATAAATATCTAGTTAAAGGTTTCTTTTAACTTGTATCAAAGGACTAAAGGGAATAGGAATAATTTATTTCCTAAAATAAACCAGAAGCTTGCTGTTTGCTGTGTGAAGGAGGTCTATGTAAAAGCTTCAGAAGAAGTGCTCTGGAATATGCTGGAATATGTACAAAGCTCTTTTCACGTTCTTTTAAAAAAGCTGCATCAATGACGCTGAAACTGCCTGTAATTTCTTCTGCATGTCTATGCGGGCATAATCACTTCCAAGCAAATTCAAGATGAGATATTTGTGTTGGTTCCAAAGCCTCTTTTCAAAGGATTATCACAGCCTTCATATGTAGCTTTTGAAATCTGTCACAATGATTATATGCAAATTCCTGCATACCTATTCTAAGCCACTAGTTGAGTTAAAATAGGTTGCGCAGTAAAGTTATTATATTATATCTCATCCTTCAGAGAAATCCTGGTATTTTAAATTACGGTGGTATAGAAATATTTTTGTTTTCCTAAACGTTCTCTTTATATTAATCAAGACAACAATGGCATCAAAGTCACTGGTTTAGTTTAGTCTTCCTCTTTTTTTCATTTCTTTACAAGCAATAAATAGGGATGGAGTAACTGAAGTCTTCCTGATAGCACTGAATTACAATTCTAAGCACTGCCTACCATGCTGGTTGGACTAGATTAGCAACATTTAAAAATTCATAAATCTGTTATGCATGCAGTAAATAACATCCCAATATACTAAATAGGCATAATTGATTTAAAAAGTTGGCTAGTATCATTGCCCAATTTCTTTTTACTGCATCCCTTGCTTTCAAGAATAATTACACTGTCTGAAATGTATGTCACACTGAAACTTTGAACTTGCCAGACATTGGACATTGACACAGACATATAACATTGTCACATAATTTAAAGTAATACTTTAAATTTCTGACAAACAATGCCTTTAAAAAATGCAGCCTTGATTCGAGAAAGAAAAATTCCAATTCCACTTGGATTTCTAGGGCAAAATTAATTACATATTTTATTTCACTGAAGTCAGTTTTAAGACAATTTGGTGAAAGCCATGCTGAGAGACTGTCTTCAGAAATGAAATTAAAAACAGGGCTGATTTAATGTACATATGTTATCTTTTGCCAATTAAACATTATATGAAACCCTGTAAAAATACTGAACCTTGATTACCAAAGGACTGATCTGTTATACTCACCTCATCTTTGAACACTTTGCCATGCTCCTCACAACCTGGCAAACTCCGAATGAACTCTGAGACCTGCCAATCAATTTTAACAAAATAAGAGAGTAAGAATAATAGAATAATTGTCCATTTAGCACATTATCTTGCTTCTAAGTGATAGGAATTAGGGGGGGGGGCGGGAATCAGCAAATGCTTGTTTCAAAATTGGCACGGGTATTATGCCTTCTTCCAATTTTATAAATAGCAACGATCAAGTTCTCTAAATCCTATATTCCACTTAACCTTTATTAGTCCTGTTTAAAGTCCTTGATTTTTAACAATTTTTTTTTTTGAAATTACAATGGCAGTGAAAAATGTGACCTGTGACCGGTTTTCTCACTTTTAAACACTGCAGCTTCTTCATGGTCATGTGATCAAAATTCGGTTGGCAACTGGCATGTATTTATGACAGCTGCGCTGTCCCAGGGTCATGTGATCACCATCTGTAACCTTCCCAGCCGGCTTCTGACAAGCCAAGTCTATGGGGGAAGCCAGATTTGCTTAATGACCGCATGATTCACTTACTTGTGGCAAAGGAGTCATAAAATAGGACACAACTCACTTAATAATTACCTTGCTTAGTAACAGAAATTTTGGGCTCAGTTATGGTCATAAATTGTTACTTACGACCAGGGCTTTTTCTGTCATAGAACGCACTGGAACGGAGTTCCGGCACTTTTTTCCGATGGATTTTCCAGAATTTTCCTATTGTTTCCCTTCCAATCCTTGTTTGTTTTTGAAAATGCCCCGCTGGTGGTATGGTGTGAGTGGGGTCCCCTCCGGCGCTGTCTGCCTCCTCTAGGAGGAGCCATGAGGTGCCAGAGCACCACAGCCAGAGCGTGGCTTGATTGGCTGGGGTGGACCATGCAGTGTGGAAGCCGATGGTGGCGGTGGGAGACACATAAAACATGGAGGCCATCTTTCACAAGAGGCTGAGTGAGCCTTTTGCCTTACTTACAGAAGGTAAGGGAGGTTGCGAGGTTAAAAAGAGGCGAAGTGAAAGGAAAGAAAGGCGGCTGGCGTGGAAGCTTGCCCAACAGTGAAACTTTGCTGTTTCAGTTCCTTGGGTAGTTCAAAGGCTGGGATGTCTAAAATCCCTTTTTAGTCTTTTATACTTTATATTCAAACTGCAGAGGGGAAGAATAAGAATAAAGCCAATGTCTTGTGATTTGGAGGTATTATTATTAATAATAATATATATTAATTATGTATTGGTCAAATGTAAAGGTAGACCTACAGTATGAGGTTTAATCAGATATATTTATTAAATTGGGTTTAACTTAAAGATAAATTAAAAGTAATCTGTTCACCGACAAAGTTTCAACTTTAATTTGTTTGAAGTCAATATCCATATTAAACTCTAAAAGTAAATTGTTCCACCTTGTTTGATAACCTCTTCAAAATAATCCAATCTTTTACAAGCAACCAAATTTTGTTTTATTGGGCCAATTTCATTCCACATAGAAAGCTGACATTTCCACTCATTAAACTAAATGGGTATGCCAGTGGTAAATGTCCCAAAAGATTAATAAAATGCCTTCTTGTAATTTAAAGCCACACAGTGCATGATAACATTAATAGTATTAACTTATTTTGAACAAAATCCTAGTCTTTTAGATACACTAAAAATTGAAGGGGTTTTTTTTTTCAACTACAAAAGTAAACCTTGTAGGGTAGGTAAGGCGGGTTGTATGATGTGTATGAATTCTGGCACTTTTTTTTTTAACAAAAAAAATCACTGCTTACGACCATAATTGGCGAGCTATAGATGTACTACCTGTAATAGCAAATCATGCATTCTGCCTCTTCAATTTTACTGGCTGATGTACATGATGTTGATGAAACAAAGATTGCTTAGCATTTAGACTCTAAGCCCCTCCCTGCTCCATCTATGCTGCTTCAGTGCAGCGTGGCGGTATTCTTGGGACGAATGAGCAAAGAATATATATTAAAAGTAAATTCTTAGCTAAAACATATAAAGAACAGTTGCTGGAATTGGGTATGTCTAGTTTAATGAAGAGAAGGACTAGGGGTGAAATGACAGCAGTGTTCCAATATCTCAGGGGCTGCCACAAAGAAGAGGGAGTCAGGCTATTCTCCAAAGCACCGAAAGGTAGGACAAGAAGCAACGGATCGAAATTAATCAAGGAGAGAAGCAACCTAGAACTAAGGAGAAATTTATTGACAGTTAGAACAATTAATCAGTGGAACAATCTGCCTCCGGAAGCTATGAATGATCCAACATTGGAAGTTTTTAAGAAGAGACTGGACAACCATTTGTCTGAAATGGTACAGGTTCTCCTGCCTGAGCAGGGGTTGGACTAGAAGACCTCCAAGGTCCATTCCAACTCTGTTATTCTATTCTTCTAGTGGGATCAGTCAAGCCATGAAGGTCATCCCTGCTGCCCAGCTAAGAGAAACAGGCACCTTTATAAAATAACAGCAATATAGGAAGATGTTGGAGATGGAGGCTCACTTTAGTGACAATAACAAAGTCATAGTGAATGGGAGAAATCAATGATAGACCAACCTGTATTTTACCAAGAATATTAAATTGATACATAAAATAAAGTGATTGATGAGATTATGCAGGATGATGGCCTCCCAGGTTGGATGGCCCTCAACACACTATTGAGGAAGTGCTGAGGATCTTTTCAAGAATTAATGTTGATTGGTACATAGCTAGAATAAAGCCTTCAGGACTCTAGTTGCTGATGTTGACATCCAGGAAAAAAAAATTCAAAGCTGCAAAAAACTGTGGTGGGAATACGGAATTTAAGACACAAGAACGTAAGAAAGATGAATGCACTGAAAGATGAAATAAATGGACTACATATTGACATCTACGGCATCCGCAAATTGAAATGAACTTTCAGTCAGAAGATCATACGGTTTACTACTCGGAACATGAAGAAAAGAAGGAAATCTGTTGCTTTCATAGACAGGAAGGGAAACCCGAGTAAGTCTGGGAACAGAACACTGCAGAGAAACCAACAACAAAACAGGCCTGTTTTGTCCAGAACACCATGTAGAGAATAGTCTGCATTGCTTCCAAATTGCAGGATTAACATTCAGAGTAGAATGGGTCTGGAGGAGAAATAGAGCATTCCCATGTTCCCTAAAATATCTCTAGAACAGTAAGTGTTAGACAAACCTATAAAAGAAGTTTGAATCTCCTGAAGAAGATACTTATCTTTGTGATGTGTACTAAAATTATCCTAAGGAAAGGTACAAGATGAGAAGTGAAACATCTTCAAAGAAAAACAAGAAAGTCCAGTTGCCTCTTGAAAAAGCACCTTTGGGACAATCATGACCTGGATGACTGAGAATCTTCACAGACACTTCTATGGCAGTAACAGGTGAAAAAAAAAATAGGAACAAGCTATCTTGAAAGCATATTTAGAAAGCTGATGTGGTTGCAGAGGTTCTAGGAGGAGAGGGACACCATAGAAGGTCAGTAGTGGAGTTGAGTGTGCTTGCTCACTCTCAGCCTGATCTATTTCACTGGGCTGTATCTGAATGGGGGGAAAAAACCAACGGGAAATGCTATCTATGCCATCTTGAGTGCTCAATGACTGGCGAGAAGTAAATCTAGCAAATAAATAAAAAGAATAATACAAAATACCTTTCTCCTGACAAAGATAGAAAAAATACCCTATAAACAGATCAGTTTTCATTTTCACTAGCCTACATTATTAGATAGTTCTAAACAGCAACACCTCAAAATCACTACTAAAATATAAAAAGGCAAAATTGAAATAGAAATATGAAATGAATATATCATCACAATAGATTATGATATATTCTGTTCTAATAGAACTCTGTCAAACAATATTAGCTAATGATGAATGATAATTCTATTTTTAAAAATAATTTTATTAAAGATTTAAAAACATTTAAGAAAGAAGAAAGGAGGGAGGAAGAAAGGAAGGAAGGAAGGAAGGAAAATAGATGACTTCTAACCATTTCTTCAAAAGTTATTAAGAAACCCACTGTCTCCCCTGCCTCTTAAACATTCCAGAAGCCCCTTCAGCCCCATTATTTAATTCTTACCCTTCTCAGTAATTAAATCCATAAATCATTTTTTTCGGGCTGATTGGTTCTTTAGCAAAAGTCTATAAAAGTTTTCCAGTTTTTTAATGTGGCAAATTCTATTTTAAGCCATACCTCATCTGTGCTCCATTTAGAAACTTTACTAGCAGGAATCCCAGCCACTGTAGGAAGGAGCTTACTGTGCTGTTCCCATCGCAATGGAAATGCAGGAATTGTGAGCTTGGAAGATAAAATGACTGGCTGCAGATGGGAACTTCTGCTATTGGTTTCCTTGCTATCTGCAAGCAATAATGAAACAAGCTTTATTATTGTACACACAATATGACCACACTTGTAAAGAAAATATATGTTCAATATAATATATTTGGCCCATTTGACATTATTACTAAATAGCGTTAATTAAGAAATAATCTAATCTGTACTAGTTATTTCTGAGCTATATTTTCTTGGGCACAAGTTTAAGCTACCTTATGTGGTTATCTGCCATGAAAAACAATGGGAACTGTTCAGCCATTATTTTCCCTGACATTTTTTAAAAGTATACCATGGCTTCAGCTCCCAATGGTGGATGAGATGCTCCTAGTCCCTTCCCTTAAACATTGCCATTTTATGGGAGCTAGGAAGTGTGTCTTTTAGTTTCCTGCACTATGGGACACTCTGCCCCTTGAAGTCCTATCCTCCCAGTCTTTTGGAAAGCACTAAAAAGCTGGGTTGGTTCCCAAACTCTGGAATAAGATGAGGGGACTGCACATCGGAAGCTGGACTTGGTGCCACGATTTTGTTGTTGTTGTTGTTGTTTTAGATAGCTAACCTTTATTGTCATTTTTTTACTGTGAACACATTGGCGCACATTAAAAATGAAATATACTTGCTTGCACTCAAAAAGTGTACACAAACATAACACACATTTAAACATGCTATATACAACATATATATAAACTTCCACTCTTGCATATAAATAACATACGGCATAAATATTAATCATTGGCCATCTTGAATACATAATGGAAGGAGGAAGCTTTAGAGTTCACAAGGTTAATACTGTATGGAACAAAACTGTGACTGAATCTGAATGTTCTGCTTCGGATACCACGGAGCCTCCTCCCAGAAGGTAACAAAGAAAATAGGCCGTGAAGAGGATGTGTGGTGTCCCAGACAATCTTGCGGACCCTGCTCAAGCAAGGCTTATATGCTATGTCCTGGATGGAAGGGAGGGAACAGCCAATAATCTTTTCAGCCATCCTCACCATTCTCTGCACCGCCTTCCTGTCCGAAGCAGTGATGCTACCAATGGTTTTAATAGTTTTAATATGGCTTTTGTGTTATTTTAATTTTTGGGGGGAAGCCACCCAGAGTTTATTGTAAGATGGGCGGCTATATAAATGCTGTGATTATCACTGAAATTTCTCATTGGGTAATCCAGTGTAGTATTTTCTTCAATTTATTTCTTTTTATGGTTGCCTATAAATGCCAGTTTCACAAACCCATCACAAACTAGTCCTGGCTGAAAAATTCACTGCAACTTGTAGCTGGTCACTCACAACCTATCTAACACAAATGAAAGCTTTACTTCTACATTCTCCTATGTGAGACTGCTTTTCCTTCCATTTTTACAGATTGAACTGCATTCTTTCTTTGTCTACAATTACTAGTTTGATGATGATAATGATGATGATGACAATCAAACACTATTTTGTTAGCATGTCTTCTATTCTGTAAATTGCATAGAGTCCCTTGGGATTTTAAAAAAACCCCTCTTAAAATAATAAATAAGTAAATGCCACCTTTAATCACTTAGTTTTAATCATTATTTGTATGCTTACTTATATCTCGGGGTTTGTTTGTTTTTTGCCATTGTGAACTCCATAGTAGAATTCAAGGGGACATGCCCTAAAGGCAATTTAAAACAAAACAGTCCTATGAAAGCAACCTAGTGTGGCTCTGATTTTTCATAGAATGAAATTATTCCATAAAGCCAATTTAAAGTATTAATTTGTAGCACTAGAAACTCTTGTACAGCATATATAGCATGAAATAACAGCTACCTTTGGTTTCGTTTATAGACAATACTTCATTTTCCGTTTTTCTTTCTTCACAGTCATCTTTCCCAGTGAGTTCCTTGGTCTGCTCTCCCCTAAGTAATACAAAACCTTCACATTTAATTATCTGGTAATGATAATAATACAGGATTTTTTTTACCTCTAGCTAAACATTTTATAAGATGTATAATACAAATTATAGTGTATCATATATAAAATAAAATATAGAAATGTAAATCAAATTATTTCTCAAAACAAAACGATAACAAGAAGTCTGGTTTCATAAACTAATACTAACTTGCATAATCAACTTTCCTGTCTACTATATAAAATGGTAAAAAAACCAAAAACCAACATATTTCCGTCTCTATTGTCTTCCATAAATAAAATCCCTGAAAACAATATCTTTACATCTCTAGAAGGTGAGATGTTTTCTTTAGAGTGGAGCATCGTATAGTTATTTTGAACTCCTACATTTTTTAATATATTTTATTGTTTTTTTACAATAACAATCTTTAGTGCTTAGTAAATAGCATGTTGTCTGTGTTCATATATTTAAAACAATCAATAGTGATTACTTCCCATAATTCCATAATCAATGTATTAATTAATAATATATTTCCTTGATCTTCTGTTCTTCCAATAGTATTCTCCTTTGTCAACATTTCTTAATATTTTTGATACATATAAGTTTGGATATAAACATTTTTTTGTGTTTGTACAAATAACAATAGCATCCATAGATAACATCTTTTCTGGCTTATGTTTCAACTGTATTTGTAAAAGTCATCTTATTAAGTCACTATGTATCCTGTTTTCAAAATTCTTATTTAAGCTTAATTTCCCCTCAGTATTCAAACTATTCTTATCAGTCATAATTTTCTCAAAATTGATTACCTTTAAATATCCAAACTTTTCATTAACATACACCATCCTAATATTTTCACATTTTATATATTATAAAAATACTATACTACTTATATATCTTATCCCTCTTTACATACAAAATTTATCTATTCTTTTAACTATATTCAAACAAGTGTTTAATCATGTAGTACTCCAACTGTTAGGTCGAATCAAATCTCTTGAATCTAGCTCTAGCCTTCTTCTTTTGCCAAGTAGCTTTCCAAATCAGTATGTTCCGCTTGCCAGAGGATTCCTGTATTTTTGTAAATGTTGTTGGGAATAAGAGAAACAAGTACGCTTTTTGCCTCCCAGATTCTAATGATTTTCCTGGCAGCTCTATAATCCATTTTGTCAGATCTTCTTTCTTATCCTCAAATTTGTTTTGAGGTCCTGAAAGATAAAATATCTTTTCCATTTTCATTGTCGTGGTGAAATCTTGTAAATTTTCTTCTGTTTGTGTTAAGTTGTAGTTCTCTTCATTTGTAGCTTCCTTATTTAAGTCACTTTCTGCTGGTTTGCATTCTATTATCTGATTTGTTTGTACATTCTTTATTGTCAGTTTCTGAGAGTTTTTAAATTGTAAGTTTAGGTTGAGAATATGCTCATTTATGTCATCAAAGTTGTTTTTAATCTCATCATGGTTTAAAACCATTGTCATTTGAATCTGTCGCAGCATTGCATACATTTCATCCTGGAAAGTATTTGCCTTGTCTTGGAGTATTGCTCCGGCATATCTCTGATGTTCCAGGCTAGGGCCTTCAGAAGGGAGTATTAGGTGTGGTTACCTGTCACTTTTAGGTAGGTATGCAACATCCATTTTGTCTACCCCCCTCCAGACAGTCTTTCACCGATATCATAGTCTCTGTGATTAGCCTTATCAAACCAGCCAAATCCAAGCAACCAAATCTTATATGGTTCTTATCTTTATATATGGCTTTTGTAGTCTAATGCATTTCCAATTGTCAAGGTATCATTGAAACCAGTGTTTTATAACAGTTCTTCTGTTCAGGAGTCTTAGAATTATTAACAAGCCAAAATTGCAGTCCAGAATGTTTATCCAACTAAAAGCTTTTCAGTAAATTCCCCCCTAGAAGATTAGCCAAGAGTCAAGGTTTTTCTTTCTCTGCAAACAATTTTTGGGCTTAGAAATCATAGTCAGTATGTATTTATAATCTCAGAAGGTCAACAGTTTTTAAAGCAAATGTTTTTCTCACTCTGTAGTAGATGGCACTTGTGTTTTCTTTCCTGTTCCCAGCTGTTCTTTATTTAGCTGTTCACTGGGATTCAAAGGAACAAGTTTTTTCTATTTCTGGGCGTCTTGCCAATTTCTGAGTCAATGCAACTATAGTTATGCTCTGATCCTCCACTAGGTGTCAGTGTCTATTTGTTTTTCAACTTTTAAGACAAAGAATTATTTTCTTTTAATTTCATCAATACTCTTTCAGATGTGAAATCTTAACAGTTTTCATAATCTTCAGATTTATCCCGACTGTAGTATTATTAACTTCATTTCAATATATTTCAGTCCCCCGTAAACATTAATTCACCGCTTCTGTCTCCACCACTTTCGGAGGATTTTTTGCTTCTTGGGGATCTTTTCCAGGAAATCAATTACAAAATAGGAGAGAAAAGATCGATATTCTCACCCAGTTCCAAGCATGCAGTTCACCATTGTTCTGGTTAGTGCTTTTGGACTTCAGTTGCTTGTAGCTTGGGTTAGTCAGCAAAATGTGGCTAGCTTTTCTGTTGGGTTGGAGGGCTTCCCCCTGATCAAGCGGATCAACTGCTATCATTCCGCGATCAGCAGGGGGGCCTTCCTTCTTCGACGCCTCTCTGGGGCGACCTTAGACCCATTTAGCGTCCCCTGGCAGGGCAAAACCAGCCATGGGGTGCGAAGCCCCACAATCCTCTGGCCACATCACTACGACGCAAGACCAGAAGTCTGAACTCCTTCTACAATTTTATTAAGTGTTAAATGATGAGTCCAAAGACAATTGATTCCACAGAATGCACACCAGGCATATAAAACCCCAAAATGTGATATCATGTTTCTAGCAAATGGAATTGACAACATCTTCTGATCTACAAACCATATTACTTGCTCAAGCATGTAAGACATTTTAAAAAGCCTGAAGCCACCAAGTGATAATATGACTATATTCGAAGCCATTGGAGAGACTGTCTGAAAAGATGCAGTTGTTCAATAAAAGTGAGAGCTGTAGATGTAACATAATTAGGACATGAAAAAGTTGTTCTCAGTAGTCAAAACTAGAAGCTTTGTATATTCCTAATCTAGAAATTATAGGAAATGTATCCATCCATCCATCCAATATGTATGGCCTCCCATCCACCTAAAAAACCCAACAAATTCTGGGCAGTGAACAAAGTAAAATCTAGCATTCTATTAAAACTAAAAAGAAACCAATTGAGGCCTCAATAAAAATCTTAATTCCCACTTATCACATACATTCACACCAGAACTCCACAATTAACATCCCATTCCAATGCTTGGAGAGTCTTCACAGCCTTCTGAAAGGCCAACAGTCAAGACCATCCATATATCAGAGGAAGTTGTTTCATAGAGCTGGTGCCATGACAGAGAAAAGCCTAGTTTTTGGGCTCCAGCAGTGACACTTCTTCACCAGGGGACCCAGAACATATTCACTGTGCCAGATATTGTGGGATGAGTAGAAACCACTGGAATGGAGGGGTCCTGCAATCAATTTGGTTGCATGCCATTAGATTTTTAAAGCATCTTGAATGGCATCCAGAAGCCTACTGGAACCACTGGAATCCATATAGTAGCAGTTGGCATACATGGAATCCATATAGTAGCATATAGGCATACATGGTGTGCCCAAAATTACATCTGTTGCTACGTTCTGGACCAGCTGAAGCTTCTAAATGGTCTTCAAAGGCAGCCCCATGTGGAATACATTGTAACAGTTCTTCTAAAAAAACATCTAAAACATGAGTGGCTGTGAGCAATGCCTCTCAATTTAGGAACAGATGCAACAAGTGAATGATATGTATTTATACAAAAGCTCCTCAAGCTGGAGGCATGAATCTGGTAGAAACTTCTCACTGTGCATCAATTCTGCCTATGGCAGTGTAACCCCATTCAATGATGGAAAATCACTGATTTGAGGGATTGTATATATATGATCTGAAGCCAAGATTTCCACAACCAGATGAATACTTCCTCCAGGCACCAGGAAAATACCTCATTTGGATGATATGGGATAGAGGTGTACAATTAAGTATCATCATTGTACTGATGACATTTATCCCCATGCTGAGGAATGACCTTGATGGATGATAGTTTCATGTAAAGGTAAAAGGGGAGTGGAGGACAACTTGAGTCCTGTGGCACCCTACAAAGTAGAAAGTTAGAACTGGATGTCTCTCCACCCTATCACCACTAACTGGGATTGGTTTCAGGAACTATGACTTAGTAGGATATTTGATCATTCTCTGAATGAGTAACTTCGTAAGAACTAATGTCACACAGAATTCTTTGGTATCTAGACTACTAAAGATGCAGAAATTGACAACCTTGAAAACAAGCAAGGAAAAACTAGCATTTTTAAGGATAATTTGTACATAATTTTCCTGCCACCTTTGCATAATATATTTTACTACACAGCTGTCAAATATAAGACGTTTCAGATCCTCCAGCTAACTTTACAATATTCCATTATACTCCATAAAAATTACTGAACTATTTCGGGGCTAGGAAATTATGCATACCAAAGCGTCATTCCTTTTTAATTAGCCATGCTAGTGTGGGCAAAAGGCAGTTTCTTGCCAGCATTTGCTGGCAGGTGATAAATTTAGATGTTTATCTGGAGAAAAATAATTATATTCAAACATATCAAGCAAAAAGGCAAGTTATATTGGAATTCTGTATCTGCTATCAATAGTTTTGGTGACACATCACACTAAGTCATAAAGCAATGTTTATCTTTATAGATGAGCCATGGGTAAATCAGAACCAGACCATTATTTTTTCTTTTACAATTTTGGCTTAGCACTGCTATGTGAGCATATTTATTTGCAAGCTCCACATATGAGACTATAGAAGGTGCCACTAGATAAAGAAACCATTTGTTGCTCAACCTGAAAGGAGAGCGCCCTAAAGGTTCTGTGTCCTTCATTTAATATGGAAATGCATTAAATTAAAATGTGCTGAAAAGGAAGACATTTTTATCTCAATAAGCAGGCTATCCAGCTGTACAACAGCAGGACTCTTCACCATCTCATTTATGGCATGCATGCTATCAACAGAAATGTCTCTTAAGATTTTTAAATGTTAATTGTGATAAAAGCAAGTAAGGAGTATGAAATGCATTAGGACATGAATTGCTTGTATAAAAAATGTTGTCCATCAGATTCATTTACTTTATTTTCCTGTGTTTGTAAGTAAAAATAAAATTGGTTAGCTATATCTCTTTTTGCAATGCAATTACGTGAAAAAAAAATAAGCAAGCATGATTAAAGGGCAGATTAACCAACAATTCTATAATTTAACAAATAAAGGTGCACTTAATTTTTAATTATTAAATGCTACATGTTGAAATATAGAAGATAATCAACAATTATCTAATGTCAGTAATAACACAAACAATTGGGTACAGTTTTAAATAAAATAACTGTAAATAGAAACTAATCAGATGAGTGTTTATTTGAAAAAACATGCATGTGACTGTCAATCAATCCACTATTTAAATTTAGAATCATCAGTATGATGCAATACTGAAATGTGCAACATTGAAAAATATAAAACAGATAGTCCTTAACTAACGACTGATCATTTTATGAAAGTTTGCAGTTACGACATATAGCTTTATGGCTATATGTCACACACACCTCCCAGTGGAGACACATGACTGCAGGTTACAGTGTCCCATAGTCACAAGACCACAATTTGTGATGTTTTTGTTGTTTTCCAGCATTTTTTGCCAATTTCTGGCAAAAAAAAAAAACCCTGCCTGTTCAAAAGAATGGATTTGCCTAACTTTTTTTAACCACTGTGAAAAATGTCAGAAAAATGGGTCCAGTCAGATGAGTGTTTTAATTTATGACTACAATGACTTATGACTGGCTTTCCTTTAAGTTGAGCAATATCTATATTCTGGAGCAATGAAAATAGTAGTGAAACTGGACAAAATGCAGATTCACATACATAAAGACAGCTAGCTATGAATTCATTCTTAATATTTAATTCAGTAATGTTCAGAATACAGTGAAGGAAACTTTAATATTAATTCACTGACTTCGATTTTTGCTTAGTATGCTGCATGAAGTTGGCTACTGTGAACTATAAATAATTGTTTATGGCTTAATGTGTTGTGAACCTACCTAATTGTTAAGCATGGTTTAGTACAGCGGCTCCCAATCTTTTCTATACTCCACACTCCTAAATGCTTCTGATATATTCTCCCATCCCTTACAAAAGTTTGAAATAATGGCAACGAATTATGCTTATACACTATAATTTTGAAAACCCAAGTTTTCGCACCCCCTGGAATATCGTCTCGCACCCCTGGTTGGGAACTCCTGATTTAGTCTGATCTATGAAGTCACACATGAACCGCCACTCACATTTACATATTCCAGTTTCAGGGAAGCAGTTTCTGGTTATGCATGTATGAAACGGATTAAGTGCATCCTTGTGTCTTGGGAAGGGCAAGGCAATTTGGAATCATCTGTAAAAACTCTAGTACTCAGCCATGAAATAGGGCTGGGCAGTTGCTTTATTTGCAGCTCAGAGAACTGCAATTAAAGCATCTCTCTTCATCCCTCCAAAGTAGCTAACACTTTTGTAAGATTCATGTGGCTGCTTCTGTTTCTGACGCTTCACTTTCTAAGCAGCACATGAACCTGTCAAAAGTTTTGGCTGCTTCAACTAATAAAAAGAAGTGTTTGGGTTCTGGAGACCATGACACTCATTCCAGGAAAATGTAGTCATTATTGAATCATTGGGTTAACCAAGATTCTATTGATTAAAACAAAGTGCTAATACTTTAGGTGCTAATTAATCCATTCTAATACTTTTCTTCTTTCTAGCTATGCTATATCTTTCAAAGATATTTGATGTACATTTAAAAACAGTCCGTATTCAAGAAACAAATACAATAGGAAGATTGAGATACTGTACATTCTGAATATGGAAAATGCAAAAATAAATGGAAAATATAAATAGAATATAAACATTAAAATGGTAAAGTCAATTTTAATGAAGCTTTAAAATGGATATAGAATTTCTGTGACAGTACTTGCCACTGGTCTTCAGAATTTCCTAATAATTAGGAAAAGACTGAATATTCATCTTCCGTTATTCTGTTCTCCTTTCTAGGAAGACACTAATATTGAAAAAGAAGCTTCTAGACATTATAATTACTGCAAATAATTTGATCCAGGTTTCAAGGGACTGAATTGTTTTTTAATTAAATAGGATGCTATAGTAATCCAGACACTGCTGTGAAATATGAACTGCATTCAATTAACTTTCCCAACGCAATGTTTTCTCCCTAGTCAGTCATAGGTTGTTATAACTAGTTAATACTATGGATGTTATGAATATAGTACGTTTTAATATTAACTTTGGGATATTTCATTATGCTATCTGTAGCATAATAATATCAAATTCTCAAACAGTGATTTTCCTCTGTCTTTCTTACTATTAGTGCTGTGATACTATTTTCTTTTTTCTTTCATACACAAGTATTCTTTTAAAATAAAATAAAATAAAGCAATAAACATCTATACCTGCAGAAAAAAGGCAGAAGAATTTCTACAGGTAAGTGAAGGACTACCATTAATTTCTTTTAAGAATATACACGGTGATAATATTGCTCAAACCTGGGGGGAGCCCATGGTCAACGAAGTGAAGGTGGCACTCACAATGTAGAAAGAGAAGCCCACCTTTTTTTTTTTTTTACATTGCATTACATGTGCAATGAACATAAAATAGGATGAGGCTTAAACTATGAAGTCATAAATACCAAATTGATTATTTTGCCAATATGATTGACTGAATTGCACTCTTAACGTTTATGAGTCTCTCTGTGGTTGCTCCTGCTTGTTAAACCGATGTTAATGACACTACAGTGGTACTTTGGTACTCATCGTTACTTGCTTCCAGGAGACTCAATGAGTACCAAAAACGATGAGTATCAAACAATTTTTTTCCATAAGGAATAATGTTATGAGTTACAAAGCAAACGACACTGACATATTATAGCTTGTGCATTGAGTACCAAACAAACAATGACTACCGGGACAAAATTTTAAAATTTTCATGTCAAAGTGTGTTGAGTATCAAATCTGATGAGTTTCAAAGTAGTTAAGTACCTAAATGACTCTGGGCAGTTTACAATAAAAAAGATATCATGATATAAAAGCATAAATAAGAACAAAGTTAAAAATAGTATTAAAAGGGTTAGGGTTAAAATATTAAAAGTTAGAATTAAACAGGTGGAGAGAACATCCTCATGACACCAACATCCCCAAGGTTACACACCAGTCTTTGACTCCCATGCCAACCGGCAGAACCAGAACACTCTTTCTGAAGACCAACAGTTGGGGGCCCGCTTCATCTCTGGGGCCAAGGTGTTCCAAAGGGCAATGGCAGAGAAGGCTCTCTCTTCCAGGATCCCTCTAATCAAAATTATTTTAACCTTGCGTACTAACTAGAAATAATACAATATCTAGAAGCAAATGATACCATCCTTATTTATAAGCCTATAGCAAAATGTTTATGAACGACTTTCAAGAATTTAGCAAATGGATTTGTAGGTTGCATCACTGATATGATACAATTAAGATTTTGCAATAAATAATGGTATTCAGATTACACAGATTAGAGCCAAAGTAGCCAATATTTGAAACAAATCTGAAAGATACCTGTAGTTTTCTTCTTTGACATCACACATTAAAGGCTTTTTGCAAAGAAGTTTCACATCTTTATTTTCCTCCTTTGAAGACTGTATGTGAGGTGCAGGCTTAACTCCAGTGTGACTGGGACTGGGACATTTTCTGTTACTGTTATTTTTTAAAAAAAAAAAACCCAGAGCAATTATTTCAAATCCTGCATTGATGAAAACTTAAACTGGAAAATAAAGTTGAATATTATTGAGTATCTCTTATTTATTAATTAAAGATAATTAGCATAAACCTGGTGATTTAGTTAAAGCGTTTATATATCTAAGATCTCAGATCTTACGGCTATTTTTTTGAGTAAGGACAACTGTAGTAGTAGTTATTTATAACATTTATTCATTCATTGAGTTGTATAGCCACTCATATCAAACCGGTGACTTTGGGTAACAATCATACAAACAATTAAAAAAGTTAAAAACACAATACAAAAACAGAAATTAAATACAGATAGGAGCCAGGAGATATTATAATGCATTCATGGCAATATAAGCAGAAAATGGGGCCCCAGGCCCGGCCACACAGTCAGATTTTCAAGACCTTATGTATCATTTTTCACTTTTTCATTTGCGTCTCAAAATTATTTTATTTAAAAACAAATGCAAGTAATAAAATTCAATCGTAGTTAAGAAATGCCTGTCAAAAATGTTAAAGCAAATAATAAAAGCAAATTGAAATACAGATAACAAAAACAAATTCAGTGAAAAAAGATAAAAGAGAACAAAATAAAACAAAGCAAAATAGAACTATTTGCCCAATATTGATAAAGAGAAAAGGCTAAATGAAGAAATTTATCTCCAAAACCACTTAAATGTCAATACAAATGAGGAACATTGCACAGATGGAGAGCATTTGAGAAAACAGGAGCCACCACTGAGAAGACCTACCCACCAGGAAGCACAATGGCCCACTGACAATCTTGGAATATGCAGTAGGACCGTCTCTGCTTAATAGCAAAGCCAACATGTCAGGTACTTTCTTCAGCTCAAGGTGCTTAAACCATAAGTAAAATGTTGTGCCTGATGCGATATCTGACTGACAATTGGTGCAGTTACTTCAACTAAGATTTAACACTGTACGTCTGATGTCCCACTCAGTGACGTGGCAGCCACATTTGTATCTGTTGCAACTTTTAGATCAATGGCAAAGTTAGTCCCACAAAAAGGAGCATTACAGTAATCTAAAGGTACCTTTCCAGGGTGGGTGAACAATAGTATCTAAGCTGTCCCTGTTTCCCTAAGCAGATCATCCGTGGGAGGTTGAAAGGGGGAGCAGATGGTAAAAGTATTGCTCAAATGAAATGCAAATTCCACCCCTTTTATTTCTGAAAGGGATTAGATTATTATTGAATTCTATTTAAAACCAAACTATTAAAAACTAATAAAATGTTGAATTTTACAGTTATTTTGGAAAGTTTAGTTTAAAAAGTTCTTCTCTATACAAACATCCAAAGGTATCTATTTTTTCTACTGCTTACTGAATATGTTAATAATATAGATATTAATAATGCATGCAAATGTCATTTTCAGGTGTTTGATAGCAATAGCACTTAGACTTATCTACTGCTTCACATTGCATTACATCCCTCTCTAAGCGGTTTACAGAGTTAGCATATTGCCCCCAACAATCTGGCTCACTTTATCAACCTTGGAAGGATGGAAGGCTGAGACAATCTTGAGCCGGTGAGAATTGAACTGCCAATCTGCTGGCAATAGGCAGTCAGAAGAATTAGCCTGCAGTACTGCATTCTAATCCCTGCACCACCATGGCTCTTTCTACTGTTTCTCTATTTTAATACAGTGGTTCTCAACCTGTGGTCTGTGGACTCCTGGGGGTCCACAATGTCATCACAGGGGGTTCACGAAGGCTTGAAGAAATATTATGATTTAGATCTTGAGTTAAGACAGGGGGGTCTTAACACATACATTTACTCTCACAAAAAGATAATATGTGTAACCTATTTCCCCTGCTTTGTGTGCCTCTGGTTGAAGGATTTGTCTTCAATAAAACCATGCATTATAAATATAAGCATGTGTTTAATTGATATATGCCATTAACAAAAGATATTTATACTTGTCAGGATTGAAATCACTGCAATTTGTTCCCAGTGCCCAATGGAATTTGGGTTTGTTATTTCTTGAATAGCAATTCCCCATGTTTTTTAAAAAAAATGTAGAAAGAATCAAACACATGTTTAGCTGTTCAAGAGGAAGAAAAAAGCAGAAATCCTCTGGGGATAACTACAGCCTTACTACAGAGACCTAAAGCACTTCTCTAAATTTCAGTCTTAGAAAATACATGCTGATGAGTCAAAAGAACTTCCAAGTTCTTCTTACAAGTACCAAATGAACTCACTTGAAGAATTCACATTTTTTTAAAATATCAATCAAAGCCTTTTGAGTTTGCCCCTGTATCCTGAAACAAACACCACACAGACGACATAAGTTCTTCAGGTTCAGCCACAGTAAAACACATAGTACAATAAAGCTTGACCATAATTTCATGGGCATAATTACTTGATTATAGGAGAGGCTGATCTTTCATTTATTTCTGACTTTCGATTCCAATGCATAGGTGGATTATTTGGAGGGGTCTCTCCACTTAAACGGTCTGAAAGAATATGCTCTTTGTTCAGGTTTATTTCAGAATATGGGCAGTTGACCACACTGAAAATAAGAGACAGAGAAGGAAAAACAGAAGATTAGACACTAAAGCACTTCCTAGTTGAAACAAACATCATACTGGTTGCAATTTCTCTGCAATTACTTGGAATTCATTAACAGACAGAAGCATAAACATCTTGTGTTCCTAATGGCAGCATCACTTTCTGCCAAGTATGTTGAAGCATACAATGTTTATTTTCAGGGAAGCTTGCTATGAAGCATATTGTGATGGATATTTATAATTTGAAGATATATATATATATATATATATATATATATATATATATATATATATATATATATATATATATATTCTTTACTATTAGAAATAAGAAAAACATATTCTCAAGGGTCAATAGGTTAAGGGAATGAGCAAAATAATGCAGTACTCTGAAAGGATAGCAAGAATTATGAATAAATATGGGTTGTTTCTCCTTTTCCGCTTTTCCTTTCTTTTTCAATGGAGCATTAATACTATTGAGAGTATATAATAGCTTGTTATTTTAGATAAATGTTATTGCCCTGTTGTACCATCTGGCAAGAAAAATATATGAAGCAGAAGTCTTGCATTTTATAAGTTTTCCTAAGAGGAAAGAAAAGTAATTACAAATATCAGTGTGAGGATCATAATCTTTATTGCAGGTTTTTCAAACTTTCAGGTTGTGGATCCGTACATTAAAAAAACAACAACCCTCTTTAATCTCTGATCAAGAGGCAAAGCTCTATAATAGAAAACTGCCAGTGTTCAGGTGAATACTTTTTTTTAGTCTTTCATGGAACCTCGTCAACTGCTCGAGAAATCTGAAGGTTTCCCAAGACAGTTTAAAAATCTCAACTCCATCCTATCGTTCCATGAGATACTAATCTTCAGTATCTGTGTTCTTCAATTTAGTTTCATCAGATAAAAGCAGTCAGCTTTATTTTCCCCGGACTTTTGAAAAGATAATGAATACCGTAATATTACCGGATCCAAAGATTTTACTCTTGCCTATTTGCCTTCCTTCAATATTCTTTTCTGAAGTCAGGATGCTATAAAATGAGCACAAATTTGCTTATGGTCAGTGTCGTAAAGGTTGGAAGCCAATTCTTTATTATTGTCTTTGCTGTTTTTTTCTTTTTTCTGGAGCTTTTCCCAGTTTAGTTTGCATTAGTTTTTACTGTGTTTATTAAAAATTTCAGTAAGAATTGTCTTGTCAATAAACTGAAGCACCTGACTTTATGACATGTGTTAATTCTTTTCCACCCAAGGCCTTTCTTCATAAAAGTTTTAAAAAAAACCCCTCCTAACATTTTATCTGCTGTTTCTTTTTCTCCCAAAGCCATTGACATTTTCCCACATACTATCTCACATTTCACTCATTGTGACAAAATTATCACAAACCTTTTGAGACCCCTAACCAAATGCCCATTTATTATGAAATGTTAGCCACAAAAACAGTCTAGTTTGTGTAATGTTTAGCTCATTTTTAAATAGTCCATAACACCAGGCTTTTTGAGGTTTAAATGAAAGAAATTGTGCATTCAAAAAAAAACCTCATTCTCATATTAATCCATTTTTGTTCATACCATTTTTCTGCAATTATTTGAAGATTTAAGCATTATGTCTTCTTTTCAAATAAGACACATTTATCATTTCACTGACTTTCATCAACCACAAAGAGTCAGAATATTTTGTCACTTTCTTATTAGGCAATGGCTCCTTTTCATCATGATCTTTTCATGCTCATAAAGAGGTATGCCCATTTATTTAAGTTCAATACTATGAATGAGGGCATGGAAATCACTGGTAGAAAAGTAGTTGCATGCAGAAAGTCTGATGTTCAATTCCTAACTCCTAAGTCAGCAGGCCTGTGAGCTTAGGATTCAGAAAGTGGTGCCCCCCACCCTTTGGTGCACCATCCCTTCCAAAATTAGACTGGCCCCCATTTTGACACTCTTTCATAAGGCCCTGAAGAGTTGGTTTTGCCAGCAGGCCTGGGGAACCCAAAGAGGGATGGAGCCCATCAAGTAGCTCATTTGACTCTGTGTTGTCGTGTGTGTATGTGTTTATGTGTGTGTATTGTTTTTATTGTTTTTAAATTTTATTTTCTATACTGTGTTTTTATTGCTTGTAAACCATCTAGAGTCATTCGGAGCAAGTAGGCAGCCATATAAATTTGTTGAATGAATGAATGAATGAAGTATATTTTTCAAAGATCCTGGAGCACTGGGGAACTACCAGAAGACTGGAAAAGAGCTGATGTAGTTTCCATCTTCAAAACGGGAAAAATAGATCCAGGAAACTACAGACCTATCAGCCTGACCTCAATACCTGGGAAGATTCTGGAAAAGATAATCAAACAACGAATCAGCGAACACCGAGAGGCAAACAAAGTCATTATTAAAAGCCAACATGGGTTTGTCAAAAACAGATCATGCCAGACAAATATTATGGCATTCTTTGACCAAGTGACAAAATTAGTGAACCAGAGGAATGCTGTGGATATAATTTACTTGGACTTCAGTAAGGCATTTGATAAAGTACAGTAGATCACAACCTACTACTTAATAAGGTAGAAAAATGTGGGTTAGACAACATCACCACTAGATGGATTCGTACCTGGCTGACCGGCTGTACTCAGCCGTACTCAGCGTGTGGTCCTCAATGGAACCACATCTATATGGAGGGAAGTGTGTAGTGGGGTGCCCCAGGGCTCTGTTCTGGGCCCAGTGCTCTTCAACATCTTCATCAACGATTTGGACGAGGAGATAGATGGGGAACTCATCAAATCTGCAGACGACACCAAGTTGGCAGGAATAGCCAACACTCCAGAAGATAGGCTTAAGATACAGGAGGACACTATCTAACAATGAAATTCAATGGTGAAAAAGTAAGGTTCTACATTTAGGCAAGAAAAAACAAATGTACAGGTATAGTATAGGTGGTACCTTGCTCAACAGTAGTAACTGTGAGAGGGATCTTGGAGTCCTAATGGACAATCACTTAAATATGAGCCAGCAGTGTGCTGCAGCTGCCAAAAAAGCCAACACAGTTTTAGGCTGCATTAACAGAGGGATAGAATCAAGATCACGTGAAGTATTAATACCACTTTACAATGCCTTGATAAGGCCACACTTTGAATACTGCATCCAGTTTTTGTCACCACAATATAAAAAAGATGTTGAGACTCTAGAAAGAGTACAGAGAAGAGCAACAAAGATTAGGGGACTGGAGGCTAAAACATATAAGGAACGGTTGCTGGAATTGGGTATGTCTAGTTTAATGAAGAGAAGGATGAGGGGGGACATGATAGCAGTGTTCCAATATCTCAGGGGGTGCCACAAAGAAGAGGGAGTCAAGCTATTCTCCAAAGCGCCTGAAGGCAGGACAAGAAGGAACGGATGGAAACTAATCAAGGAGAGAAGCAACCTAGAACTAAGGAGAAACTTCCTGACAGTTAGAACAATTAACCAGTGGAACAACCTGCCTCCAGAAGTGGTGAATGCTCCAACACTGGAAGTTTTTAAGAAGAGACTGGAAAGCCATCTGTCTGAAATGGTATAGGGTTTCCTGCCTGAGCCGGGGGTTGGACTAGAAGACCTCCAAGGTCCCTTCCAACTTTATTATTATTATTATTGTTGTTGTTGTTGTTGTTGTTGTTGTTGTTGTTATTGTTAAGTTCATGCCAAAGAAAATCAATATTGGAAGGGATAAAGACTAGACTTGGAAACTGTCTTTGTACTGTTGGAACTAGCTTTTGTCATGAAGTGTAAAATCAACATAAGCAATAATACAACAATTCAGCCCAATGTGTGTTGGGAAGTTGTGTGGGATTCATATGTAGTTGTATGGGATTCACATGTCTATATGAACAAGCATGTATGCAGTCTTGAATATACATATCCTGAGACCAGGGTATTATAGAACTGCTATACTATAATATGCATTATGTGGTGGGGTTCAATTAGCCAACTAGTATAGAAGTTCCCAAAATCATTAATTCTTTTTTCCGTAGTTCCCTGCTGACCCATGCATCAGTAGTAGGTTTTCTACCTCCACTAACTATAATGGTTAACATAGGATTTTCTTCACTCGGTGAATATGCTTTTTTCAATCCTTTCTATTGTATTCAGATAAAAGCCTCATTGTGAACAAGATAATTATGTTCATATTATGGTATATAAAAATTTGCAGCCCTGAAGGATAGAAGCAACATTTGAAATAAAGGCCTTCAGTTTTGACTGCATATACATAGGAAAGTTCTTAATGATTTTGCAATGATGCAGAATAGAAAGAAAAGTAGAATTAATTAGTTCCAGTCTACTTCTGACTTCGCTTATCTTAATCCCTGGCTATTAGTTCAATCGCCTGTTAGCCATCAATTACCATTTTCCATTCTGTCTATCCTTTGAAGCCAACAGTTTTTTTAAACCAGTGAGTAAAGACAGGATCCAAACCTCTATATAACAAGCCTATTATTAATGAGTGAATATTAATTGATTTACTCCATAAATTGTGGCAGAGCTTTTGAACGCAATGGGATTGGATATCCCCTTCAAGTAAAAGATGAACATTGGATGTTTGTGAAGAATAAGAAATTATACAATTCGCTTGACAGCAACTTTGCTAAAGAAGGGATTTTTCAGGATTTAAATTTAAGTATTACACATATCGTAAGCATGCTTAATAGAATAACAGAGCTCTCGATGTTATCTCCTAGTTTTAATGCAATACAAAGCAAAAGAAACAGAGTATTAACTCTTTGAGAACCTTATTGCAGTGTACACGCACTGTACATTTCTAAGAGCACTAAGCAAAACTAAGAAACTCTAGAAAAATGGGGAATGAATGGATTAATCCTTCCAAATGAAAATAGAGCAATAGGAACAAATGTGAGGGAAAAACAAACCTCTTACAACTGTATTACAATCTTGTGCATCAGCCTTTCTCCCATACCTATTCCTGACCCATCCAACCTCGCTGAAGTGCAGATTTAATTTCTCAAAACAAAGTGAAATTTCAA